AGGAGTAGATTTTGGGGTTGGGGTCACTGCTGCCTTTTTTGGGACCGCAGCCTTGGGGGTTTTCTTGGTGCTTTCATCCTCAGAGCTGTCAGAGTCTGAAGGGAAGAGAGGACAGGAGAGACATACAGGCACGTGAACCATAGCTTGCACCGAAGATCAAAAACACAAACACTTTATACAAGATCTCAGATGATACCAAATGACTCCTCAGTGCCAATGGCACATCGAGTCTCCCCTCACCCGAATCCGATGATGAATCGTCCTTTTTCTGCGGCACCGTCTTTGTGGGGGGTGTCTTTACTGCTGCAGATTTTGGCTTTGCTCCTTTAACCGCTGGCTTCGCCACCTCCTCCTCCTCCTCATCTGAGCTGGAAGAGGAAGATGACTCCTCCTTAGCAGCCGCTGCCTTGGCGGGGGGTGTCTTGGCCACCGCCACCTTGCCGGGAACCGTCTTCACCGCAGTCTTCTTCGTCATTTCCTCCTCCGAGCTGGAGTCTTCAAGAGAAGCAGAAGCTTAACATCTTTTGACGTCATTGATCACAAGGAAAGATTTTGGGGGGGGGGGGGGGGATGTATATGGTCCCGTTTATTACGGGTTCACGCCGTATTGAAAAGCTTACCTGAGCTTGAGCTGTCAGAGCTGGATTCTGCCTTCTTGGCTGCAGGTTTGGCGGCCGCATGCTTGCCCGGGACAGCCTTCACTGGAGCGGCCTTGGCCGGAGTGACCTTGACTAGAGGCGGTTTCAAAGTCAGAACCAGCCTGGGAACCTCGACCAATTCGTGACAACGATGAGGGCAGGGGAACTTACCGGCCACCTTCTCGTCATCGCTGCTGTCGCTGCTGCTGTCGCTGCTGCTGCTCTTGGCCTTGGCGGCCCCCTTCTGCCTCGCCACTTGGGCAGGGGCCTTCTGCATGGATGGCGGGGGTGGGACTGCACTGTACAGCTCTGAAACATCAAGCAAGTCCCAGGCAGCAGCTATAGTATGGCATTTCAGCTCCGAGCTCACATTTCCCCCTCTTTCATTCAACCAAATTTGATATCAAGATGCAACACTTATAGGCCAAACTATAATTAATATGTACCTCAATATAAAGAGCTAATAGAGCTGAAGTAGTTACCCGGCTTATTCTTCTTACGGGGGGGGGACTCCTCCTCTTCAGAGGTGGATTCTTCACTGCTAGACTCTGCTGCTTTGGCTGGGGGGGTTTTCACAGGTGCGGGGGGTTTGACAGCTTTCTGCAGGGAGACAGGGCCTTTAACACTTGCAGGGTGACCATAGGAAGGGTAAAACCTAACCACAAGAACACAAACAATCATCTAATATCCCAAATTTATTCAGGTCTGAAACAGTTGCTTACAAATCCATGTCACCTTGTTAACTACTGCAAAGAATACATCTTTCTCAGAACCAGATGCTCACCTTAGTCTAAATCTTAAGGTTGTAGAGCCTTAAAACTGGTTAAGTTGTGAAATGGAGCAGCAGGCAGTCTGCAGTGCCCCTTCACATGCTTGTGGAAGTTTTACTAACTCAAAAATGTTCTGTGGGCAGAATGAAAAATGATTGGTTATCTCTCTGAACCAATCAGATTGTAGGGGAGGTCCAAGCAGCAAATGGAGGCAAGACCAACAAATCTAATTGGTTGGTGCCATCTCCTCTAGCTACTTGGACCCACAGAACATTTTTGTGTAAGCAAACCCCCGAGCCCTTCGCATACTTCAGTTATCTGAGCCAGAAAGCACCCCTTAACCTAGACTGTAATGTACAGAATGACCTACAGCCTACTTATGATGAATACTGGGTAATCAGTGTAAAACCTGGTCTTTATGAATAGTAGCTAACCATAGACAATTACAAAGTAAGCTTGATCACTAATTCCCGAAATCAAGCGATTAGTCTGAGATCATTCATGTAAAACATCAGATTCCTGATGACAGGCGGGTGATAGGAGTGGCCCTCACTCACCTTGGCTGGCTGCTCATCCTCTGAGTCACTGGAGCTGTCACTGCTGCTGCTGGATTCTGCTTTCTTCTGAAGGGAGGCCTTAGGGGTGGCTGCTTTTTTGGGGACGGCAGCCTGTTTAGGGATGGTGGCCTTGGTTCCTACACGATCGGCAAGAGACGTTGGGTTAGGGTGTACGCACACCATGCCCGCGCACGTTTGACCCCCCAAAGCCTACGTTGTCTGACTAGTGTGATCGCTCCATACCGTGCCTGAGCCTGCTTGAAGAGGTGGGCCTAGGCACGGTTCAGTTTGAGGTCTGTGTGTCGTCATGCTCAAAATGGCTCCAAATAAGCCCCAGAATACGGATGTTAATCGTGAGCTCCACTGTGCTGTGCGATAGTGCTGCTCTTCAGGTTTAAGGAAAAGTCGCACGGAGATGAGGAACGCGTGCACGGGCCCAGAACATTAAGCACAATATGAGCGCAGACCAGTTCAGTCGTGCTCAGGTACAGTACAAAGGAACTGGGCCAAGTGCGAGTATGACCTTAAACATCCTGCCCAGACCAGCCCCCTCCTCCAGTTTCCGTACTGTAGTCCCACCCAAAACACATGACCAAGTTCTCGCGTTGCTCCTAACCCCTGACTACACCCCCCCCCACACCCATTTTGCCCCTTTATCTTATGTCAACGCTAAACTGGCTCTTACTTTAGTTCCTCCCCTCCCCCCGCCCCATTTTTATTAAACCCATCTCTAACTCCTCCCCAGATCCCTATGTCACATCATCCCCTCTTCCAAGCTACAAGAAATGTTTTTAAACCATGCAGTAAAATACCCCCATTAAGGACATATATAACAAATTCACCAGCAGCAGGAGTCTTCGCCGCCCCCTCGTCCTCAGAGTCCGAGCTCTCACTGCTGGAGCTGGTGTCCTTCTTGCGCACCGGCTGGGGCTTCGCTGGGGTCTTAACTGGAGCTTTAGCAGGGGCCTTGGCCGGGATCTTCTGCTTGCAGGATCAAGGTAAACAAGCACAATCAGCGTATATCAAATTACAGGCTGAGGCATTCGCTCAACAGCCCTTCAAGACCTGTGAAGGAACCCTTCAAGACCTGTGAAGGAACCCTTCAAGACCTGTGAAGGAACCCTTCAGGGCGAGTCTGAAGGTACAGCAAGAGCTCCTCTGGTTTCTTTTATTGGTTCTGTTCATGGTCCACTCTGCAGGTCCCCTCTTACCTTTGCTGGGGCCTTGGATTCCTCCTCATCCTCAGAATCACTAGAGTCTTCACTGCTGCTGCATTCTTTCTTGGCAGCTGCTGCTTGCTTCTTTGCCGGGGCCTTAGTCACTGAAGGACATGGAGTAGTGCTGTAATTACACGTATGCCCATCCTCTTCCACTAACAAATGAGTATTCCATTCCAATTGTGATGAAAAGAGTGTAAACTCAGTCCTATAGTTTTGTCTTGCAAAAACACAATATTTCCAAATATAAAAATCATACACACAGCTTATTTTAGAGATAGAAAACCATGTAACCTTCCAGCACAGCTGTGCACATTCATCCTGGAGCCCAAACACCAGCAAGAGATTGTACCTGCAGGGGCAGCCTTGGCCGGCGGGCTGGGCTCCTCCTCCTCCTCCTCACTGCTGGATTCCTCCTCCTTCTTCGCCTTCTTGGCCGAGGGGCCACTCTTCTCCGGCAGACCGTTGCTCAGGGCCTTGCGCTTCTTCGATTTTGGTGACCTGACACGCAAGCAAAAAAAATAAACCCAATACCACCAAAAACAGGACATCTGAGCAGTTTGTCACACTCCTGAAATCTGAAAGCATTAGCAAAAGACTTTAGCTAAATCTAGATGTGGGATGAATATTATGGTACCATTTTAAAATACTTCTGATTGGAAACCAATGACTGACAGAACACAACGATCCCACCCAACCTGGATTTTCAAACCCAATTTATTCCATCACTATGTATGTCATAGTCTACCAAATTTGAGACAAAACACACACACAAAATAAAAAATTAAAAACCCCGATCACAACTAAGGAATAACACTAGAGCAAACACTGCATCTAAATGACCTCAAAACAGGCATTGTGAGTTTTGCAAAGAGTCAAGTCTGCTCCCCATATGCTGATTTCCATTCAGTATTTGAGCACAAGTGTACTGGAAGTTTTCACAAAGGAATAACTGCAAAAACAGAAGGTACTTACTTCACCCAGAAGTTAAAGATGTCCAGAAGGCTGTCCGCATTTTGGTCCTGGGGTTTCTTAAGATTTATAAGACAATATAGATATTAAAATATATTATTTTGCATTATCAGCTCACAGGTGACTAAACATTTTATCATCATTAGGTTTGCGTCAGAATATCCAAATACTACCCAAAAAAAATCGACGATTGAGCCGCCACATTTATATTTATCGAACTATATCAACAAATATCGAACAAACGATTATTCTATTTATTTTATCGAATGACAGACATCTTCATTAGAATCAGAACGTCATGTAGTCTGGAAGGCTACGGAAGCTATATAGACGCGCCGTACATAGCGATAAATTCACAAATTGCAGTTTACTACGCCTGTGAATATATATCACTTCACCAATTTGGCATTTCCTTTTTGTCAAATCCATATAAAATGATTCATGCTCATTCCAGGGACTTGTTTAGTAAAAGTAGAAACTATTATGCACTTAGATGTTTTACGAAACAGACTGGCCCTCACGTGTTCGTAATGCTCAACGTGTGATCCACGTTTCTCGACGCCGGTAAATAGGCGACCTACTCAGGAAAAAGAAAGGCCACACTAGCAATTTATAACAACCACGCTATCCTCGCTAGGTACTCACCACTTTAGCCTTCTTCAAGAACTGTTGCGCAGCCTTAGTAAACTTATTTTCCAGGAGAAACGAGTACACATGTTGGTACAGATCGCTAGGGACAGCAGCCTGCTCCGCCATCTTCGCTGCAGACGTAATGAAAATGAAGCGCAGATGAAGCGGCGGAGTCAGATCACGTGCGCACTAGGTCAACGGCGCATAAATGACGTAATTCCGTTAAATCTACCCAACCGTACATGGTGCTGAAACGTTTACATTCGCAAACATGCTACCGTTCTAAGAAACAGATAATTCTGATCACGTATCAATAACTAATATCGATTACATTTTCAAAGTTAATTTTTTTCCAAAAGAATAAAAATTTACAGGACGAAGGGGCGTGGCTTATGCGCACATTTTCAACGTCTCTATTCCCCGCCTCCTGCGTAATGACACAATAATGGCTGCTTCTTGAGACGGATTGTCATGCTGGAAATCGTGCTGTTTCGTCTTTGAATCGTTGTCATTGGTGCCTACGTTTTACAGTTTTGCGACCAGTCATGCCAAGATACGAGCTTACTTTGATACTGAAGGCGATGCAGAGGCCTGAGACCGTTGCCACTCTTCGGCGTACGGTGGAGACCTTGATTGAGAGGGGCGCTGTTGTTCGAGGACTGGAGAACCTGGGCGAGAGAGCATTGCCCTACAAGATCTCAAAGCATGGCATCCGCCACACGCGGGGCGGCTATTTTTTGCTAGATTTTCACTCCCAGTCTGAAATTCTACCGGCTTTCCTGGATCATCTGAAGCGCGACGTTGATGTGGTGCGGCCCACAGTTTTGAGCAAAGAGACGGCCGCGGCAAACACTCGCTGCTGTGTCCCACAGCCCGAAAAACCCAAGGACGCGCTCCCACGACGCAAATGAATGGACCTGCGAATCTCTCGGTACGTTTTAACTGTCAGGCCTCTGCGTCATTTTGGAATCCACCAAAAGGTTCTTTTTTACCGCACTGTTATTATAATGAATGTTGTTTAGAATTGACCATATCAAACGCTTATCCTGTCTTTTTTTTACAGACCTGTGACAAACTTGGAAGGCTACCCTCCAGAGTTGAACTTTTCTTCTGCAATTTTGTAAATATGTCAACATAATAAACGCCACTTTATATATCTTGGATTTTGTTATTCTTGTCCTGCTGTCTATTATAGATGTACTTCACAAGCCTCTGAACATAAACTGTTGAATCTAAAATTCACTTTTCAGAAACATGTTTTGATGATTGACTTTTTGCATTATTCTCCTGCTCCTGGTCCAAAAAGCTAGCATTTTGTGTGTTTTAGTCTAAAAATGTGTATTGATTCCCTCATTCATTCATCTGTTTTCATAAATGCTTATTCAGTACAGGGTCACTGTGCCCCTCCTGCCTGTTGCAGGACATCTTGGACAAAATAATAGTTCATTCATTACCTCCACATTTGTAGGTGAGAGTTTAGTACAACATTACGATGTAAGTTTCCCTTATATGTGATAAACTTGCATAAGCAATGTGGATTATAATGGGTGTTATTCTGGAAAACCACAATGCTTTGATTGAAGCCCACAGTACTCAGTAGCTGAAAGTTTTATTTATCTGTTTATGCAATGTTCTATCCAAAGCATCTTAGTTTCAACCATTTGTACTACTGAATACTGTATTGGTACAATGAAGTCTAAGAACCATACTTAAAGGGGATTATGAGTTAACAGATCATGCTCTGGACCACCACACCACCAATTAATGGCATTATTTGGCAATGTTTCAGGTTTAATGATATTATTGCAATTTTGACTGAAGTACCATTATAGTTATCACCAGTTTGAAAACAAAACCAGCACTTAAAACTTTTAAACACTAGTATAACACCTTCGCAGAATTGAAATGATGTGAAATGATCCTTGCTGTGCACATTCAACAAATAAATCCTCTAGATGGATTAATTTACAATACTCATGTGCCGCGCTAATATGTTAGATGTTTTGTATCACCAAATTCCTCACAGAAGAGAAATGACAAAGTATAAAAGTTTCTTAGATGGCAGAGAATTCTGGAGGAGCAGGGAACCTGTGTTACAGCTGATAATTATGATGTTTGCCCATTTTTATAGCAAAAATTGACTGCCCTGGCATTTCACAAAAAGACTTTTTACTTTGATGTGCACTGCCAAGTAGCCAAAAGCAACCCCCTTATGTCTACTTACTTCTGATGAAATCAGACTTCTGATTACTTCAAACACTCAACAGCTGTGTGATGATCATCACAGAGACTTTATTGACTAGCTTTGTTTCTGACACTGCTATTGAGCTTGCAGAATGCTCTGTGTATAAAGCGGGCAGGACAGAGGTTTGTGTGTTTACATCAGGGGTCACCAACATGGTGCCCCCAAGGACCACATCTAAAAATGGCACAACTCATCAGTGAGCAGCATCTAAAATTTTATTTTATCCTGTTGCTATTCTTCTTTAATCACATTTGCATTTATATAGATTTGAAAATGACAATATCTTAAAAAAAAAGTGTTTAAAACATGTTTATTATACATGAAGTTTAGATAAGTTTAGGAGGCATTTCAAACTGGTAGCCCTTCGTATGGCTCAGTACCCATGAAGTAGCTCTCAGTTTCAAAAAGGCTGGTGGCCCCTGGTTTACATTAATATCAACTGGTGTCTGTATCACAAAGCTGGATTGTTGGGTTAGCAAGGTAACTTGTTGAATTTGAGGTAGTCTTGATGAAATGTAAGTGAATGGAAATTAAGTCCATTTAAATCCAACAAGTTATCTAGCTAACTAACAAATCTCACTTTGTGATATAGGATCCTGTTGTATAGCTAAGGACGTTGTTGACAAACAATGTTTAAAATGTGAGTTTTTTTAAATGAAAGGGGGTCATTGAAAGTAATCATGAACGTAATCCTTACTGCATATGTACCCCCCAAGTACAAGTAATGGTGAATTAGCATTTGGAAAGCTATACGCTGCCATTGATAACAAGCTGACGGGGCATCCTGACAAGGTTCTTATTGTAGCAGGGGACTTCAACCAGACGAATCTCAAAACAGTCATGTTTCAATTCCATAAAAATGTGATCTTTCCCATGAGGGAGAGCAACATTCTGAGTCGGGTCTACACCAACATGCAAAAGCCAATAAAAGTGTTTCCCAACCAAAAGCTGTGGATGAAGAACTGTGTGCGGGCTCTGCTGAGAGAACAAGACATGGCTTTCAGGTCAAGTGACACACAAGCCTCCAAAACAGCACAAGGGAACCTTAAGAGAACCATCAGAGAGGCCAAGTGTACAAACAGCGCATTGAGGAACACATCGTGAACAATATCCCCTGCAGCATGTGGGATGGAATTAAGGTACTGACGGATTATAGGACTAACATTCAACGACTCAATGACAAAACAAGTCTTTCAGATGTCCTGAATCATTTCTTTTGCTCATTTTGACACACAAGAAGGAGGAGCTACACCACACTACCTGCAGGTGTACAGTCACTGGTTCTACAGCTCCATCAGGTGAGATCCACCCTTCAGAAAGTCAATGCTAACAAAGCCATCGGCCCAGACAGAGTACTCAGACAGACATTGAAGACATGAGCTGCTCATGCAGCTTGCAGGTGTCTTCACCAATATATTTAAGCTCTTGCTACAACATGAGGCTGTTCCAACATGTCTCAAATCCTCCATCATAGTTCTGGGACCCTAGAAATGAATCTTCGAGACAGCAAAACGAAAGCAGAAAGCCTTCCCAATGCATCTGCTTGGCAGGTATGCTTGTTTACTATGGTAAATATCAGCCAAGTTCATCTTGCGGTTATAGCCACCATCAAGTGAATAAGACAAATAAAATATTAAGCAAGTAATATATTGTAGTGGTTTAAACATGCGAGGCTCTCCTAAAACGTCTCAAAATCAGACTATTCCGAACGATTTGCATCCTTAGTATGTTCAACCATGCATTTATCTTTAACTTTCAAGTTTTATTGTCACGTTAATTGTCATGTTTAAGCTGTTAAGTTTTGTCAGCAGTGCAATATAACATAACAAACAGGGCAATAAAGGAATTGTTTTGAAGCATCCGTATTTACGTTTCCACTTATATTTCTATCTATTTGATTATTTATTAAAGTTCGCCAATTCTTTGTTTTTGGTTGCTTGACTGCTGTTTAAGCTGAAGAACATAATTTTCTCTTCTATTCACTTAAACAGCGGTCGATACAAAACGAATACGTAGCATCTAAATGCTTAATATTCTTAGGGCCGGGTAGTTCGGTCACGCGCGACGGCTTCGCGGTCACCTGACAGTGACGCTGAAACTATATAAGAGTCAGCTGAGCTGCCGCTCCGCATTGCAGTATCGACGGCAGGCTGGTTTGGGCTATATTCAATTAATGTACAAAAAGTCTTAAATTCATATGCTACTGAAATTAAGGAAACGAGACATGCTGTTTCTCACGCTTCTTTTTGTGTCGACAGGTAAATTTTGAGCTTTCCTCAGTGTGTTTGGCGTAACATAGGCGTATTTCGGTCTGTTTCGCTTTTATCTGAAATGACTGCTGTCGTCATGTCAGAATAGTTAGTCGGTGATTACACAGCCTGTTCTGTTTCAGAAATACTACTTTGGTATGAATTTTATTCTAGTCGTGCCATCGCTTTGCGGCCCTCGCAGTAATGCTTGTTTACTAGTCGCTCTCTTAACCCGCTTCGTCATCTCGGTGGCAGTTCTGCACAGTTCGGTAACCCCGATCCGGCAACATATCTAGCCTTAATGTTAAAAAAACAGAAACTTCAGCAGCTCTAACTGGTTTAGCGCTGTGCTGAGATTGCCGCTTTATTACAGTTTAGCTGCGATGCCTTGTCAAACGCGCGGTTGTCTAGGCCGCTCCCTTGTCACTTGTGTCACAAGAAATGTCTATTATGCTATAAAATTCAGCCGTTAAGCTGCGCATTTGCCGCCTGTCCGATTATATCACTACATAGGGGAACACTTTAATTTGCTGATAATGATTGATGGAATGAAACGGTAACGTTAAATTAGGTCAGTGTGGTAGCTTCTGTGTACCGTTTGCTCCTACCTATGCTCTGCTTGTACTGTCTGCCGTAGGTGTTCCTCGTGCTGCTGCGCTTAGATGTATATTACTGATCCAAGGGAATTGTCGTTGACGTGAGAACCAAATGATAATCCTTATCAGTGTGTACTATGTTTTTGAATTAAACCATACTTGAACCGTGGGGTTTAGTGGTTGCTACCTCTGCGCCATCCTCTGCCCAGAGGCTTTTAGAGCTGTTGCGCTTCCGTCAGAAGTGAACGATCAATGCCAAATGCTGGTCGAATTGTTTTTTTTCTTCTTTGTATCATCTGGCTTGTCTTTGCTTATAACTTTGCCTGTAGCCTCATGAGCACACATTTGTGTTGCAACTCTGACTCATTTTTTTGACTATGGTGTAAATGTTTTTCTATACCGCAGATGTCTATTGTTAGTGGCTTACACAAATTTCCTGCTTCTCTTCAAGTTATTTTTAAGGTCAAGCTGCAGCAAACTAAAAAGTACCCAGGTTTCACTTCATCTTTTTTCTTTATATGCTGCTGCTGTACATTTCCAGTAAGTAAAGTGTCATAGTATAGGTGTATAGTAAGCCATGTTAATCTGACCAGATATCTGTGAAATTAAGTGTGAGGGATATGAAAACAAGGTATAAAGAAAGGAGGCTAATCTGCAGGACTCTGGGACCAGTAAAAGTTGGCTATTTCACTTCGTTGTTTGTTTTGCCTGTTTCCTGATCTGAAATGTTTCAAGTCTCTTAAAAATTCCCCTAAAGAGCTCACTTCCTCATTCACATTTAGAAGAAGAGAAAACACTATTACAATTTTCAGAAGGGCAGAACTTGTACCTTATCTATGCATGGGAGTTTTGTAGCCCTGTCTCATACTAGTACTATACATGATGCTGTTACCACCAGGCCTGCAGGGTATTACCCTAGCTGCTCATGTGCCAAGTTGAGATTTTAGTGTTTTACCCACATTTAGATTTTTTTTTTTTTTAATCAAAATACAGTACTTAAGTGGTCCTGTGTTTGAGGTAGAGGTGCACCGATCTGATATTTGCATTGGTATCAGCGCCTGTCCAGACCTATT